GGAGCCTTCCCAAGACTGACAGCCCCCGCCGGGCCTACAAGGGCGCGCAAGAGAAAGGTCGAGGCCAGCCTCAGATCCGAGGAAGCGACTGTGTCTGGGGGAAGGGAGGATTTCCCTTCCAAGGAAAATGGGACAGAGAAGGAAAGCACTTCGTGGCCGCGCCGCGCCGCCCCGGCCCGGCGGCCGCCGCGACCCCTAGCTTCGGTCCCCACTCGCCTGCTCCCTCCCTCCGCGTCCCGCGGTGGTCAGGCCTCTCGGCGCCTGGCACCCTCGGTCTCCGGTACTCACAGAGTCCTGGGCTGCCCGTCGTCTTCCATCATGGTGGGTGCGACGGAGCGATCCCGGGACAGGGGGGAGGGCAGGGCTGGGGAGGGGAGGGGGCGGGGAGGAAGGGGAGGGGGGCTCCGGGCGCCGGCTGGGGACAGAGGAAAAGGCACCGAACCCTGTTCTTGGGTTCTCTTCCCCCAGCCCGCTCCGGACACCGAGCTCCTACCAGGAGGAGCAGGAGGAGGAGGAGGATGAACAAAATGGCCGCCGCCACCAGCCAGGCAGGAAACGGAGCAGAGCGCAGGCGCAGCCCGCCAGGTCACCGCTCAGGCCGGTGGCGACGGCCTGCAAAGGGAATAACTGAAAGGCGAGGGGAAAGGGGCAGCTGAGGAGATCCTGTGCCCGATCACGACGGGTCACGTCGTCGTCGTGAGCCTACTGACTCGCTGAAGCCAAGCCAGCGCCAGAAGAGGTCCCGTAAAGGGAGAAACTCCGTGAAGCTGAACTCTGTAGGAATTGTGGTCCTGCAAGTTAGAAGAGGAAGCACTTCTCCAGAGGACTTCTGGGAACTGTAGTATGAAGGAGAAGCCCGGCGCCCGCGCCGAGCTAAAGGAGAAGAGGAGACTTCTGGGTAGTGTAGTCGTACGTGGAGACGTGCAGCGACGAGGACGTCGGCGTGCTGACAGAAGAGGGGCAGACTAAAGGCTGCGGAACAAAGTGAGTCCGAGAAACAAACTACGAGTCCCAGAGTGCCTCGCGCTGAGGGCTGTCTTAGGATGGCTCCAGACATTTTAAGACTCTTCGATTGCTCCGCCTAAGCTTCTGCTCCGCCCCATCAAACTCAAGAGCGGTTTCTTCAACTACTGCTGAGGCAGCGCTCTGGCTCCGCGTGGTGACAGAGCTGCGCAGTTTTTCACCCGCTAACGTGCTAGTCTACAAGGTCGGTTTGAACCTCAAAGTTGTCGGTTCAAACTCTCATAAGCCGCTCCTGGAAACCCTATACAGGATCGCTGTGAGTCGGAACCGACTCCACGGCACTTAACAACAACAACATCTCAAGCAAAAAGCTTGGCCTGGGGTTGTCAACGGCCGCCTCACGCGATGGGCCGGTGAGATGCTGACCTGGTGGGGACCCGAGGGGCTGGAGCCGACTTCGGGCTGTGGCCCCTCTGGCTTCCCAAGAGCCCGCCATGTCCGGTGGGTGCATTTTCCCGCTAATAGGTATTCCTAGCCTAGGTAGACGGTTCAAACCCATCAGATGCTCCTCGGAAACTCTATACAGGGTCACTAGGGGTCAGAATCGACTCATCGACTCCACAGCACATAACAACAACAACCATTAGATCCAGTCCTGCTGTGGCGCTGTAGGATTAACACTGTACTGCTAACCACAAGGTCGGTGGTTCAAACCCTATACTCCAATGAGACCTGGTGATCTCCTGAAAGGTCACAACCTTTAAATTTTAAAGGCTCTAGATCTTATGAAGTGCAGTTCTGTTCAACACACAAGAGATCTTCATGAATCAAAATAAAATAAAAATAAACCAGTGATTGCCACTGGTTTTTACTTTAAGCAAAAAGGTACTGTACTGGACAAGTCTGCTGCAAGAACCTCTTTAAAGTGCTAAAGAGCAAAGATGTCACCTGTGCCGGACAAGGGAGACCAGAGAAGAAGTGATGCGTTTAACAACAGTTGTTAAGTTGATTCTGACTCAGTGACCCTGTTCAGTGTTTCTGAGGAGTTGCTGGTGGGTTTGAGCCACTGACCTTGTGGGTCGCAGTCCAGTGCTGATCCTGCAAGGCCCATCAGGAGTGCACATCAATTAGGAGGTTAGTTCAAATGCAGCGGATGAGCTCTAGGGGAAGGCTCTGGGGAAAGGTCCTTGTCTCTTTTCAGCATCTGTAGACGTCTGTGTCTCTTGGCATCAACCTTACTCTGGACTTAGGAGCTTCACAGTGCGGAGACCCCAGGTCCAAAAGGCACACACCACTCCTGGTTCTTTCTTTATGGTAGCAGATCTCTCTGATCTCTGCTGACTTCTGTCTCCTTTTACCTCTTGTAAGGAAAAGGTGTTGCAGGCAAGTCCCAGGGAAATCCCTTTACTCAAGGCTGTGATAAGATCAAAAGTGTTGCATCCACCTTTACTCCTCTTACTGGTTTATCACATCAGAGCACATTCACATCAGCACAGAAGTACCACATGACATCATTACTTAGCTGCCAAACCACTGAGACTCACTGCCCAGCCAAGCTGGCATATTTGGGGGGTGGAGGATTGGGGAATGGGGACACGCTTCAATCCATAACAGAGGATCAGAGAAAAAGAAGGCCTCCAGGGAGGTGGATTGATACAGTGGTTGGAACAATGGGCTCTAACATGGCAACGGTTGTGAGGACCCATTGGTATTTCATTTTGTTATGCATAGGCTTGCTCTGAATCAGAGCTGACTCCAAGGCACCTACCAGCAGCAAACTCCCTGGGTGGTACAAACAGGGTTAAAGCTCTTGACTGCACTGCACCTTGAGTTCAGCCCCCATTCCTCTGGAGGCTTGTGTAGTGTGATGCTGAACAGTTTTCAGCAAAGTTTACAAACTAAGGCAGACCAGAAAGGCCTGAGGTTTACTGAAAAATCAGCCACTAAAAACTCTATGGATCCCAGTTCTACTCTGACACGCATGGGGTTACCATGTCAGAATGAACTCAGCAGCATCTAGTTTGATGATGGAACTTTTTAATTTTGTTTTAAATTTATTTTTGGTGGCAATGCAAGAACCAAAGTCACATCCACTTACAATTTCCACAAGAACAGTTGATGCCGTATTTCACATATCAGCAATCTTGCTCTTCTACCAGTATTGTTTCACTCTTGCCCCTTAAAGTTCTCATCTTTGCTTTCGGTGAACTGTGGTCAGTTTACACACATATCGATCATTCTTTTTGAGAGTGCTATGCTCCAAGCAGGACTCCTTGTGTGGCGCTGTAGGATAAGCATTGGACTGCACATTACAAGGTCAACAGTTCAAACTCACCAACCTCTCCTTGGAAACCCTATGCAGGGTCACTATGAGTCAGAACCAACTCGACAGCACTTAACAACAACGTGGGCTGAAATGTTTAACGATGGCTTCATGGAATAGTTTCAGTTCAACGTTTAAAAATTCTTTCCAGACATTAAGTTCAAGGATTTCCCCCAGTCTCAATGCATCCAGTAGAACTGATTTCTGTGTGAGTTTCATACTTTCACTCCTCCTTCTGATCCGGGCCTCGACTATTGGATCAAAACGGTCAGTAGCAGCAACCAGGCAGCATCCTTTTCTTCTGGTCTGATGGCAGTAGAGGTAGCAGGTTATGGAGGCAATTAAACCTGCAACCCATCCTTTCTTCCTTTGCTGCTCCGGGAGTTGTTAGATGCTGTTACTCAGTTCCCACGTAGTAACCGTTTGCACAATAGAGTCAAACATGGCCTGCTTCTTTACCATCGTTGAAATCATGATGTTGGAGCCATTGTTGCCGCCACGGTGTCAATCCGTCTTATTGAGGATCTTCCTGTTTTGCCCACCATCTACTTTACCAAGAATGATGTCTGCCCTAGGACCATCAAAGGAGAAGAGCCGAGAGCGGGACCCTACCCAGAGAAGCAGTGATGCCGGAGATGGAGGCAGAGACGATGATGTGAAGCGATGGAGCAGCTGGGGACTTTAGATCCAGAGAGGAAGAGCGACTGTGTGCTGAAGACTGGGGGACCGGGGGTGGGGGAGTGGAGGGGGGGTTAGTGGAGGGGGAAGGCTTGCAGGGTATACCCTTTGGTTGGTTGATGATGCATGGAGGGGATTGTAACCATGGCAATGAGATGATATACGACAGAATGAATGTAAAATTAATGTCCTCCCATTGTAAACTATCATATAATTCACAATAAAACATTAAAAAAACACACAATAGCTTCACATTTTGATATTTTTGTTTAAGAAATGTTTCTATGCTTTTTGTAGCAATGATAATAATAATAAAGAATGATGTCTGGTAAAGGGTCTGGTCTCTCCCGATACCTGGTCCATAGTCGAAGAGGTGAAATCTTGCCATCCTTGCTCCTAGGAGCACTGTGGCTGTACTTTATGTGAGACAGATTTGTTAATTCTTCTGGCTGTCCATGTGCTTTCAATATTCTTTGCCAACCCCATCATTCAAATGCATCAATTCTTCTCCAGTCTAGCTTATTCACTGTCCAGCTTTCACATGCATGTGACCCAAGACCACTGTCATTGAATGTATTACAACTCATTACTGTTGTTTGGAGTCAGGTCCAACTCATAGCGACCCTGTACAGGGCTTCCGGGGCTGTAAATCTTTACCGGAGCAGAAAGCCTCCTCTTTCTCCCACAGAACAACTGGTAGTTTCGAACTGCTGACCTTGAGGTTTGCAGCCCGATTCATAACCACTATGCTACCAGAGCTCCTTATTTCAACTCCTAGTGACCCTATACAGGGTTTCTGAGGCTATAAATCTTTATGGAAGCAGACAGCCTCAACTTTCTCTCTTAGAGGAGCCGGTGGGTTTGAACCATTGACCTTGATGTTAGTAGTCCAATGCCTAACCCACAGCACCACCAGGGCTCCTTAGGAGGTAGACTAGAACTCTAAAAACATTAGGTCATTAACTGGACAGTCCTATAAAGTCATCACCCTAAACCTTGGAACACTAATAGCATGAAGTGTGTGGTTGCAGGTGATGGAACTTTTACATTTTGGTTTTGTCATGGTTGCATGACCGTGTGCAAATTATACTTCCATTACATAAATTATACTTTAAAAAATATATACCAGAAGCCCTGGTGACACTTTTGATTGAACATTGGAATGCTCATGCAAAAGATGGTAGTTCAAACCCACCAGCCACTGTTGGAGAGAAAGATGAGACTTACTACTTGGGTTGAGATTTACACACTCAGAAGCCCTATGGGACAGTTCTACTCTACTATGGGGTTAATCACTGTGTGTAGGAATCAACTCCACAGCAGTGGATTTTAGGGTTTTTAAAATATATATATATTT